AGTGCTTTCTTAAAATATAAAACCCATATATTCAGTATATTACTTACACACCTTCCTTCAATTGTCCTTTATATACTTCATGATTCTTACAATCCTATTGTTATTACAATTGCTCTTTCCTCAATCTTCTGCTGCCAAGCATTCCACTTCTGATTAATAACAGGTAATATTTATATCTGTCAACATCAGTAGCATACACCATAGGAACATTTGAATGAAACACTTTTAATCTAACCTTAATTAACTTTTAAAATTCATCTAAACAATATGCTTCATGACATCAAACTATACTACTATCTTACTTACTTATCGCTTTTTTAGCGAGTTAGTTTTCTACGGGATGTTGTCGCCAATCCGATGCCCAACTCTCCTCATTTATCCGGGCTTGAGACCAGCAGTGGCCCCAAAGAGGCTCCTGGTGGAGTTATACTACTATCAGCTCAAGTTAAATAAAGTAATGCGTTCATTTTTAAATAAAGTCTTGAGTTTGCTGTTATTTACTTTTCTCGACCAAAATCATCAATTTATCCTGAGATATGAGTTTGTGTTACAACTAAAAATACAATGTATGTCATTATGTATTAGAAATGCGTGATGTTAGTGAACAATAAAATTCAATCTTTGAATCTTTTTTCTATTTCAAACATATTGGAACATGCCATCGGAATTATGTCTGTATGGCAAAAATGAACAACAATATCGAATATTTAATACATTATTTCTTAATTTAATCATCCATTGCCTGGGGGTAATGATTACAGTTGAATTAGTTTTATTTTAACCAATAACACACTTAGACAAAGTTATCTTCATATCAAAAGTGATAACTAGCATTTAAACACTGAACTATCATGATATGTAATTGAAGATACACTTTAGTTTCATATTGAATCCATAATGCTCAACAATGCTAATATATAAATATTGAAAAATTAAATCTTCTTTTTTGAAAATGCATCAATAACACAGCTAATATATCATGTGAGCTTTCAACGATTATCCTTATTAATTGTTGATTCAAAAATTTGTCATGAACTTATTAATGATATAATAACCTTTAATGACCGCTTTTATTGATCGTGTACATTTAGTTAACAACTAATGAATGGAAATTTTAGTTTCATTAGTTAGTAATGTCAATCCTACTAATAAATAATAAAAATATAGTATTTTTAATAGTTGGATTTGTGAGTCGATTTAAACTAGACAAGCATTGAAAACCTGGGAGCAATGGACGACCGTTTCGTCCTAGTATGAGATTTCTCATTAGTGAGCAACCACGACTTCGCACGCAGGAACTTCAGTATCTCACTCGAACGTCTAACTTCTAGACCACTGAGCAGATATTCAGTGGTGTTATTATCTAACACCAGTAGATCTTGATCAATCATTCGTGATTGTTTGAGGTGGATATATGTCTCTACCCGATAGGGAAGTATAGTAATAATATATAATACTTATCAAATATTGATTAATACTCAAATTCAAAAATGACTAAAATATAGGAGTTACTAGATATTGTCGATTTTAAATATTAGATTTCATAACCGTAGAATAGTACTAATTGCATCGAAACAATGTGAACATAACTAACTATGAACAGACTAACACTGTAACTGTACAAAATGTGTCATTAATTCTTGTTTTTATTTGCTGTACAACAGCCATAAAATTATCCAGCTACAAAGATTATAAAACTATTTTCAATGATTCACAATCACTAGTGAGTAAAGTCACAAATTTTTCTGTTTTGAAAAGTGCCTTGCATTTTAATGTTTTAAATAAACTTTATAATCTGATTGATTTTCAACTAACCAAATCAGATTTGATCAGCTGTTACCTTATCACTCAATAAATAAATAACATCAGGATCCTAAAAGTCGAAATACCTATAGTACCAAAATGTTCCTCCAACAAAGCTGCTTCCAAGATCGCATCGGCAGCATAATATGAAGCGGTTTCAATGACCAATACTTTCTAACTCACTACTGTTTTTGAACAATGAAGAAAATTTATTGTTTACCTCCCCTCTACCAAAGATAACTTTGTATACATCCTTCACAAAGTTAATGGGCTACATTCATCTGTATCAGAATAGTTATGTCGGGAAAAAAAACATTTGAATAGTGCTAGTATTTTAAAACTGCAGGCTAATATAATAGGTCTTCATTTCGACAGTAGTTCCATTTGGAAACGATAAATCACTATTGGATAACCTTAACGTTTTTTAAACAGTCCAGTCGGTACAGCTAACATGATGTCCTTATTGGAAAAGGATAATGGCTGGAAATAAAATTTAGGATGCGCGTTTCGTTCCATTTGTGACTAGTCATCTGGGTTCGCTTGGACCCCCGAGCTTATATTTACTCCAGATATTCATAGTTGATATATTGAGTCTTTATCTCTGACATGATCATAAGCACTCAGTTTAAGTTAACAAAAATTTTTGATGAGTTGTTATTGTTCACATTTATCGAGTAAATAATTGATTTCCATCCTTTTATCTATGAACTGTTCTCAATTAACTGGTTTCCATTACTCTTTAGACTATACGTCAATCTGTTCAAGATACTTGAAATTTTCATACACTTGTATAATACTTGTTTACTCTACAAAAGATTGATTTGTATTGTAAATAATTATAAACCCGATCACTCTGCCTACTTAAAACGAAATAACTGTGTAAACCTTTAGCATTATTACTGACATTTATATTTTTTAAATCATGTTACTACTACTACTACGTCAAACATCCTATAAGATGCCATTTTAGACATTAATATATTATACATAAACTTGACCTTAAGATAATTACTCGTCTTTGTTATGAATTTCCGAGATAGAGGTCATGTTTTGAATGTTCATAACTTACACGTTTCATAAATTTGTTGTGAAAATTGTTTTAATTACAAAATAAAAAATGTATACTATTCTTTCGTTTTAGCTTAACCATTCGATATGGTACCAGTTGTAGTACGTTGTATTTGTAGGAAGTTCACGCCTCTGCAAAATAAAAGTTAAGAAGAAGGACTACTGATGATAAACTTCATTTTAGTTTGGTTTTTCACAGTAGAACACCCGCAAACCCCATGAGAATAAAAATACTAGACCTCTAGTGGCGAATAATGTTTTTCAGCTTTTACGTCTGTATTCAGTGATTCACGTTTCTAACTTAATCTGATTCATAACAGCATGACGATCATCTAGTGTTATGGAAAATAAACATTTGATTTTCTGCATGTTCAAACTCTACTTTATCTTTATTCATGTGAGACTTTTATTCAAGATCGGTGTAGAAACTATCATAGTAAATTCTTCAACCAGTCTTCGGAATCAGTCTATTATAATTTATCATGAGTTAATTGAAACTATGAATGTCAGTACAAATGTAAATTGACTATTATTACTAGTCACATTTCTGAATATACCCAAGAAAAATAATCATGATTTTTTATGATTTCACTAGTCTGTAGCGTTAGACAATTCAAATGCCTGAATATTCTAGTAGAGATTTACCAGTCATATTTCTTTAGGTCGATGAATTCCATGGCTCATTATCTGTTCTATAAAATTTAATTAAATTAAATAATGAGGTTCACGAACAATCTTTCATTAGGAATACAGCAATCAGTTTTTGTTTCATGATTTCATCAAATATAAACCCATTATAATATTTTGTTTATGGAGAACGTCATTCTAATTAAATTAATTATCCATTTGCATAACTTGGCCACATCATTCCTATACTGATAGACATTTCAAAGATTGATATTGGCTAGCAATGGAATCCAGGACTCGTCAGCTGGATGCACCTGCATCTCAGAGTTGATGTTCACTCCTGGAATCTAACTCAGTACCGTTCGCTTCCAACTCCATCACGTTATCCATTTAGCTACTGAGTCCTGCGTATGAAGCGAACGGTATTGGGTTCAAGTCTCAGAGTGAACATCAACTCCGAGATGCAGGTACATCCAGCTGACGAGTCCCAAATAGAACGAAACGTGCTTCCTGAGCTCCACTGCTAGTCACCATCCATCGTTGTTTATAAAACCTGTAAATTAAGGCAATATCGAGACAATACTCACAGTATCCACATATACCAATAGGAGACTGATCAATTGCAGTCCTAAACATCAATGGGAAGACTCAAGTAAACTATACTTAGTGAATTCATTTCAACTCTAGTTTCAGTAAATTCTTCTGAATGTTTCGACGACTTTCAGTCTATATCTTAGAAGATCTTAAGTTCATTGAAACAAAAAAAATTCTTATTTAACTATATACAGTTATTTATTTATCACATGACTTTATAGAAAGACTAAAACAAAGTGAAATATAAAGTTAACTAACATTAGTTCATGCTATTTTTGTAGTCTAAATTAATTAGGATACTAGCTGTTTTCTTTTTGTTTTGTTTTTTTGTAGAAAGAATATTTCACTAATTTGTTGAAATAATTTTTTTTACAAGAAGTATGACTAGAAATCTTATTCAAAAGTACATAATTTAGACCGATAATGTCACGTAGGCCTATTCAGTTAGTATTTCAATTATTTTGATACATTTCTAGACATACCTACAGTCATGATTTATGTTGTGTTCTTTTCTTTTTTTTAAAAAAAATTAATAGTCGGAATACTATTCTGTGCCTAATTGAACTCTACAAAATAAAAGACGATAGATTATTTTTTTTTAAAAAAGAATGCTTTTTCTATAGTATCTTGACAACATTTTATTAACCAATCAGTACAAGCTAAATAGGGTGTGTATCATGAATTAAAAATTTAATCCAATGAACAATAAGAAAATCTTTTATTTCCTATCCTACTGGTTATTTAGTAAGAGTAATAACTAATTTATTTACAATCATTTGATTGGTGAATTGATAAGCTGAGACCCAAATGGTCACAATTGTAATGAGTGGGCGGAGTATCTGAAATAAGTTTAAAGGTTTAAGGAGGTGTGGCATAATTCATTTTAGATTGACGACTTAAACTAAAAGATGGGAGTTGCATCGGTAAGTATCGTTTTCAATTTCAATAATGATTATTGAACATTGTTATTGACTATTTATTTTTATCATATTGATATTTACTAATGCTCTTATGGTTACAAAGTGTTTTAATGGTAAACTAATATATGGGTATATTGTTGGACAAAAGGCTGAAGAAAGATAATCTTTCTAGGATTTCATTTGAGTTACGAAATGTAAATTATTGAATCTTAAACGGTGAAAGTTGTTTTACGTTAGAAAACAGACTAATTCATACTCTATACAAATGAGTATGAAATAAATCAAGGTCACTATTTATTTTCATAAAAAAGAATACGTAATTTTCAACTGTTGATGGGTTTTATAACCGTTTATCTTATTTTATAACTTATTATTCCGATTGATACTTAACTCAAATTGTTTAACATTGAGTGATTGAAATCATTTTGCGTTAATAAATGACCTCATTGTAAGATATCCTAAAATCAAATATAAGAATGTGATTAAGTGAACGCATAATAGAAAGACGACGTTAGATCGTTAGGAAAATCTACTTATATATTGATTATTGAATGAAACATTATAATTACAAAATATCACAATCTTATGATTGATAATGATATTAGCTAGGAATCTTTTATATCGATTTTATATCAAAAATCAACTTGTATTTTCAAGGTGGTTTCCATCATAGATTTAAATCGATTAAATCTTTTTATGATGTATTCTCTGTGGTAGATAATTTGACCGTGAAGCTTTCATAATTGATTTGAATAAGATCCTCTTTGATTGAATCAGTATTAAGAAACTGAGATATAGCGAATAGCTGTTTTTGGTAAAGTTTTTTTCGAAGTTTATCATAAATGATGCGTTATTTATTAATAAAATCACTAACAGTTCACCAAATGATGATCACTGTGAGTGTAAACAAGAATGGTAGGACATTTATTGAGCAATTCAATAACATGAACACATAGTATACAGACACAATAAAAATGTATGATTGATGTATCTTTTGTTTCTCACAAAGTTACGTAGCGTATGTATTTGGTTCCTTAATAATAACTCAGTTGAACATTATTTTATCATTCAGTATAGTTTCATATTTTTTTACATTATTCTATAGAATAACGGTGTCACAGGGAAACTTGTTTTAACTGTCGTTATAACATGTATTGGATCATCATTTCTAATTGGATACAATCTTGGAGTTTTGAATCTACCAAGAAGGGTGAGTGATATTCATTGACGATATATATATATATATATATATATATATATATATATATATATATATATATATATATATACAGTTGTGTAATATGAGTATCGTAATTAGTAATTTCATACATACCAGCAAGTTGAACGTGTTTTATTCAATTGTAGATAAGTTGAATAGTTAATTTTACTTTTATTGAAGTGAGAGAAATAGGTTGACTGTGTTATTAGTACTGGAACTTTAATGGTCATTTACGTGATGTTGTTGTTTTGTGTCATAGCATAAAACCAATCGGGTAGGAGTTCGAATATACTTTTCATTAGTGTTATTTTCCAAAAACAAACATCTCACAACATTCAGGAATACCTAAGGCTCTCTAACATTCAAATTTAAAATACTGGAATTTTTGTGAACCAAAAGTATAGATTACTACATAGTTGGCCAGGTAGTTCTCATACATATGATTACGTTCTCGCTTAGTTACAGTTATAATGACTAATGCCTCTCCAGAATGTATATGCTTGTAATTTTTATCGAACGTAACTGAAGTACTTTGGCTAAAAATAATTAAATATACATGTATATAGTCAATACTTATTTACTTACGCCTGTTACTCCTAATGGAGCATAGGCCGCCGACCAGCATTCTCCAACCCTCTCTATCCTGGGCCTTCTTTTCTAGTTCCATACAATTATTGTTCATTTTTTTCATATCTATCTCCATTTCATGGCGTCATGTATTCTTTGCTCTTCCTCTCCTCCTTTGGCCTTGAGGATTCCATGTGAGGGCTTGTCTTGTGATGCAGTTGGGTGCTTTCCTCAATGTGTGTCCTATCCACTTCCAGCGCTTCTTCCTGATTTCTTCTTCCGCTGGAATCTGGTTTGTTCTCTCCCACAGTAGGTTGTTGCTAATAGTGTCCGGCCAACGGATCCGAAGTATAGTCAATACTGGTTGATAAGCACTTTTTAAAGTTACACGATTTCTAACTCATCGAGGTTTGTGAACTAATATCAGCAAACCACTAAATTAGACAACACTTCAAAGGAACATAAGGTAACCTTATTGGTAAATAGGTGTGACGTAATACGGCAATATAATTTACTTATATGTTGAGTTGAAAGTTAATGGTTATTTCTTAGAACAATATGTTTAATATTTAGTTATGTTCATTCAAAAGCAGGATAGGATTGTACCGCAAGCTTTAACCTGGAATCTTTACACCATCAGTCAGTCATTCAGTTAATCAGTTTGATGCAACGTAGGACTTGGCGCATGTGTATATTAGTTCAAGTTGCCATACCCCTATTAATACAGAGAGATACAGGATAAATTCCAGAGTACTAGCGATAGCAAAAGTGTTGATGGCAATAAAAAAGATTATATAAAAATACGATTTTAGAGAAAATGAATTAGTTAAACTTTTAAATAATTCATGAGGTGTTTGGAAATTTAGAGAATTGTAGAAGATTCACCCTCCCAAACAGTATTATCAAGTACTTCGGCATCTCACGTTGATGCTATACTTCAACGTAAATTTAGTTTCATATGTTGCCCTATCTTGTGAAAACTGTAGTGGATGTTTAAGCTAAACATATGAGACTACAATTTGTACCTAAGTTAATAATATTATGGATAGTAAAACTAAACTGTAGGTAGATGAACCAGTCACTCATATTGTTTGTTTGTTAAACCATATTTTATCATAGCTATTCTTTAGGTAACGTTTTCATATTTCAACAATACACAACTTTTTTTTAATAAGGTTTTTACCTGACATGAATACTTAACATTTAATCTTTACTAAATAATTTATAGAATATTGAAACATATTTTAATGAGACAGTTGTTCCAAATACTCCAGAATTAGATTCAAACTTCTTCTACACTCATGTCAGTACAATATTTGTAGTTGCCGCTGCTATAGGAGCATTCAGTTGTGGTTGGGTAGCTGATGGACTTGGTCGGTAAGTAGAAAAAAAATATCATTTCTAATTGATTTTCATTACGTTTTTTTTTGCAATAGTCATTTCTTGACTTCAGGATAACATTGGTTTTAGTGTTTTAGAAAATGTAAGACCTTAGAATATTATTTCTTGATCTACTGAATAACTAATCTTTATTACTTGAAGGAAATTGATTATCAACATAAATATTGATAGATTACGTAACAAAAAACGTAATTTACATTATTTTTATTTCATTAAAACCTTTTTAATTAATGCTATACTATGAGATAAACATAATAACTGTATTACTAATCATCTGTTTTGCATAGATAAGTATTATATAATTACAAACTGTTTACTATCATAAATCAGACTATTTAACTATCCATGTATGACCGTTAAACACGTGAATTAAATGTCAATTAAACAATTCAATAGTTTAAAATTTTGCGATTAATTATGTTAACTGACCCTAGTGGTATGTTTTAATCGATTTGTAAAGAAATATTTAATGATGATGTATTTCATTTCTTTATAAGTTCAATGATTGTTTCTCCTCTTCACTCGTTTCTTTATTTTAATTTACTGATTCGATGTATGATTAATAGTGAATAAAAACAAGTAACATTAATCTTATTTGAGGCGATAAGTTGATAGAATCATGAAATTTTGAACAATTTTTTGGTAACCAGAAAACATTGATCAAGTGATTTTCTTTTCGTATTACTATTTATTTATTTTAACACATAGATAATGGTACAAGGAGTCATGAAACAGATATAAATCATTCGATTTATGTGAGGGCTAGGATACTATCCGGGTGCCCAAACCGAAACAGGCAGTTTTCTTAGGGGACTACGCCCGGAGACTTTGACCTAAAGGTCTGATACACATGGCAATGGAGCAACGTCAGATGTAGTCCCATTGTAGCCGGTGACCAATAATTGGTTCGTATGCCACTTTTTCTCTTAGGATCCTGGAGGCCATGTGCATCACTGGTTTGGAATCATGGATTTCCAACTCCCGTAGATGGATCCACTATCTCCAACAACCCGGTTTAAGTGCCGGACATTCGCTTTTTGTCCTCTCAGTTTCGTAAACAACATCCCCGCCACGAGAAGGCAGTGAGTAGGACTTTTCTGGCAGTGGTTGTATGCACGTAGCCATGTGAGAGCATTTCGAGAGAGAGGGTTGACTCTCCTCACCATCGACCGTATCAGGCCATTTGGGGGCAAAAAGTATGTGTCGGAGTTGTTATACCAACAAAATATTTTACTCACTGTAAACCTCTGTTAGATCAATTTTATTTCCACACTAGTAATTACTTATTTTACGAGGTTGAATGGTCACATTGAATATATATTCTCTGTCAATAATTACGGGATTATGTCTGTCAACATAATTAGTATATAACGCCAATAGATGTGGGATGCCTGGCAGCAGGTTGAGAAAGTCGAATAAAAGAGAACGGGAATATAAACAGAGAGTAATTGTAAAAGCGATGAAGGAACAATGAAGTTTGAGACAATTGATGTAGAATTTGCAAATGAAGTATTTAATGTATAGTTTTCACATTTCACCAAAGAACTATGCAATTTTGTATTAAAAAGTAAATTGGTTTTCCGCATCTAAGTTTTCGTTCACTACTCTAGTAGTACCCACTGGAGTACTAGGAACATATATCATGAATATGGAAGTAATTCTATTTTATCGTGAAAGAATCCTTGATGAGTTTAACCATATCAGCATTATTGGATTACGTTTATTTGACATACTTGAGTTTTGTTACTATCTATGCAGATATTGTGAAATATACAGTTATTTTATTCAATTTATAAAACTTTTTGTCATTCGACATAAGTGTGACAGAGTATTGATCGATTTCAAGTAATTTCCTCTTCTGTTTTTTGTTGCTAATATTATAGACGAAATGGTTTATTAGTTAATAATGTTATTGGCATTATCGGTGGTGTAATTGTTGGTCCTTGTGTTCTTGTCAAGCAACCTGTGTTATTATATGTTGGCCGTTTTGTTATTGGTATTAATAGTGGCATTACAATTGGCATAGCTTCACTTTATTTAACTGAAGTGGCACCACGTGATCTACGTGGTGGTATTGGTGCTTGTCATCAGTTAGCTGTAACCATTGGTATTGCTTTCTCGTATTTCATTACATTTTCATTTCTGTTGAACACAATAAATCTATGGCCACTTGCTGTTGCTTTGGGTGCTGTTCCAGCAGCTATGTCATTGGTTATTTTACCATTTTGTCCTGAAAGTCCACGATTTTTATACATGAAAAAAAATAAAGAAGCTGAGGCACGCAAAGCATTTTTACAATTAAATGTTAAAGAAAATGTTGATACATTCATTGGTGAATTGCGTGAAGAAATTGAAGTTGCGAAAAATCAACCAGTTTTTAAATTTACACAGTTATTTACACAAAGAGATCTTCGAATGCCAGTGCTTATTGCTTGTCTAATCCAAGTTTTACAACAATTATCCGGAATTAATGCGGTTAGTTATATTGTATTACTTCAATATGGTTTATTTAGTGTATGAGGTTTTTTGATATGCTTATTGTGCTGATTTTATGTACAGTATATTGCTCACAATTTTAGTCAGTAACTCGATGTAATAATGATCTCTTGGCGATCATAGCACATTTCTCTCTCACACTTCAGTTATAACGAAGCTGATTACTACTATACTGTAGTTCCCTCCGTATAGTTGTGGTGTATGCTATTTATAATGACAGACGCAAGTAGTATATAACACTAATTGGGAGCGGGATACCTGTCAAAATACAATCGAGAAGATTAAACTGAAGGAAACGGAAAGGAATTGAGAGTTGAAAGAATCATGAAGGATATAAAGGACAACTGATGGAAGATGTGCAAATGAAGTATTTAATGTATGGTTATCACAATTTAGGAAAACAATAAATTGGTTATCCTAACATAATATTGATAGTTTTTCACTTCTTAATGATATTAGGAATTATTTATTTCATCCCTTTTATTATGACATATGAAGAGATTACAATTGTGTTACAAAATTAAACCAAGGAAATAAGATTTTCGTGAAGAGAAGTTGTTTAATCCATTTGGTTATTTCAGTGACAATATAGAAAATTACTCGAAATTTGTTACTTAGATTTAAACATTAAAATATGCGTTGAAAATGAGTTAATTATTGCCTACTATATTATAGATAACATTTATATAAAATTCTAAAATATTTCATGATAATGGATATTAGATGATGAAGTGAATTGTTTTTGGTTGAGATCATGAATCAATTGATGTTAGACCACCGTTGGAAACCTGGAAGCACTGGACGGCCGTTTCGTCCTAGTATGTGACTCCTCAGCAGTGCGCATTCACGATCCCGCGAGCGGGATTCGAACCCAGGACCTACTGGCTTCGCGCCTGAGCACTTAACCATTAGACCACTGAGCCGGCATCCAATGGTGTTAGTGTCTAACATCATTATTTTAGGTTAGCACTTTACCTTAACTGACTTTCTAGAAGAGGTTTATCTATTGCGAATAAATCTACAAACCTTGAGTAGATGAGTGAATAACTTGTCAGTTAGAATCTCATAAATATTTATTTTTATGGCCAGGTATTGAAGTCATATTGGAAGTTCACTTAATATTCCTCTGAGATGGTTTGGATTTAATTTTACATTCATTTGGATTAATATTCTATTCTCAAAGTTTATATGGTCAGTAACTCAGTATCAAGGATCTAACTATCCATGATGACATATATATAGATATAAGGTCAACATATTTCAGTTCATTAAAGTTTTGCTTTCTTATAAATATAAGTCAAATAACTGTCAGTTTATCAATCAAGACTTACTTTGAATCATTAACTGTTATACCGTCTAAATTTCTTTTGGTACATAAAAACAATGACCACTTTAACATTGGTTGTGACAAATAAGATTGAATGTAGTGTATTCATAGGTTAAGTTGAATGTTCGTCTTTTACAATAAGCTCTCATGCAAATATTAAAGATCATTCATTCAAACAATGGATATTATGTTTCTGCTGTAGATCATTATCTTTCTACATTTATTCAGATTAACAGATTATTAGCCTCCATATTGTTGAGTAAATTTAATTTTATCAGAATATATCTATTTTTTTGTATTTTCTTTTTTTTATTTGTCATATAGGTTATAACATATTCATCTCTGATGTTAGAATTAGCTGGTATTCCTGATGTGTACTTACAATATTGTGTCTTTGCTATTGGAGTTCTTAATGTTATCGTAACTGTAGTCTCTCTTCCACTAATCGAACGTGCTGGACGTCGTACTTTATTATTATGGCCTACTGTATCATTAGCTTTATCGTTGTTATTACTTACAATATTTGTTAATTTGGCATATTCTGGTCCAGTAGGTGCGAGATCTGCTATGGGTATAATATCGATCATTTTGATATTAGTTTATATATGTAGTTTTGCACTCGGCTTAGGTCCAGTTCCTGCATTAATTGTATCAGAAATATTTAGACAAGGTCCACGTGCTGCAGCTTATTCACTTAGTCAGTCAATTCAATGGTTATCAAATCTAATTGTATTATGTAGTTATCCTGTTATACAGGTAAGTGAATTATCTTTGTTATGATAAAGATAGATTTGTTCAAGTATTCCTTATTGAACTTTATATATATATATATATATATATATATATATATATATATATATTCTACTATCCAAAATATTGAGTGACCTTAAATCGAAGTTGTACACCTTATTAAATTCATACTTACCAAGTATTAACTTTGTGATGCGCCTTTTTCTGTAAACTGAGATTATCATTACATGTACGCCAACCACCAATTTCAATGACAATTTTATTAGTAATTCTTTAGAGACCAGTTTAGTATAATCCTTACAACTTTGTGAAGACAGTTGTAATGTATGAATATATTGATAATTATTACTCTAATTTGTGCCTGAACAAATTATCTAGTATTCGTGTTGTTTTGATTTGCGAAAAAAAAAGATGCTACAATAATACGAAATCACGGAATAACTGGAAAGATTTAAAATACTTTGCATTAAGGCGGTTAACATTCAATTATATCTTGCTAGGTTTAACTAAACACATATCTTCAAATTCTGTACATTTAACCTGTTAGATGAACTAATCTCACAGTGAGATTACCATATTGATTTTTTCAAATCTATCATACAATAATAATGAAATATTTTTTCTATTCGTTGCTACAATTTAATATATATTCAAATAATCTTTTTTGTATATCTTGCATTTTGCTTTATCTGTTTAACAAATTTAGAAAAACATCGGTGGTTATTCATTTTTGCCCTTCCTTGTGGTCGTTGTGATTTGCTGGATCTTCTTCTTCCTGTTTATGCCAGAAACTAAAAATCGTACATTTGATGAAGTTGCACGTGATCTTGCATTTGGAAATATTGTTGTAGGCAAACGTACTACAGCTTTAGAAGATCGTAACCTTACTGTATTCACTAAACAAGGTAATAATGACGGTCCAGCTTCTGAGTCATTACTTTATCCTCGAAGTGATAATGACAAAGGTATGTATGCATAAAGGAGTTCTTGGAATATGTTTACAGAAAATTGTTGGTTAAACTGAAAAAGAAATCATAGACACTTCATTGAGTTTATATTCTAGGGAATTAGTGTATGCACCTTCCATTTTATATAAATATAACATATATATGTACGCTATTACATATGTGTATAATTTCACTTCATTATATAATGTACGAAACATGCATATAATCTTCATCTATCAGGTTATTTTCATTATTTTAAATTAATATTGTCATAGAAACACAACGATGATCATTTTTAGATGTCGATATGATAACTACGTGTTTATCAATATCTATATTTTGTGTGCTGTTCATTCTTTATCATTTATCTATTCACCTTTCATTTTTCTTTTAATGTTAACGATGATGATGATGATTATGCACCATAAACGTATAATTTTTAACTTAAGAAACATAACTTTCTTTACAGTTCCGCTTGTTTTGTTTTTGCCTAATTTATCTGAATCAACTTTCTTTTTTTTAATGAAAAGAAATATTATGTAATATGAACAATGATTGTGCTCATTGTAATTCTAGGAGCAGAATTAAGTACTAATGATGTTTTAAATATTGCACTAAAAAAGATTGAACAATAAGATGGAAAAAAAAACTGAACAAATAGAGAACACATACACACACACAATTTTACTTACATCAGGTATCCTAAGTTGATACTGTTCTATCTCTTGTAACTTTTTACATTTTACCTGGTGAATTTACTTATTTAATAAGCTTTGAATGTAAACTTTGATCTTTAAAAACATTATTATTATAATTAATATGATTATGATGAATTTAATTACTATCCTTTATCTCTTCATCGCACAAATTGTTGTATAATCCTTACATTATTATTATCCATATTACTATTATTATCATTACTATTCATATAATTAATATTATTGTCATCTAATTCATGTTTTCCATAAGATCTTGTTAACTGGTTGTATCGAATAATTTCATATTCCAATTATCAATATTAGTATTAATAATATTATTATTACTTTTGTTAATTATTCGAAAGTTTTCTTTCTTTACTTCAAATACTTTGTTTCTTTCAACGAATTCCTGTGATGATGATGATGATGATATTCTTTTATAAGACAGGATAACAAACAAACTGACAACAGTAATGAATAGTTTATTTGTATTTTTAGAAAGAAAAATGTTTGTCAAATGTATACAACTTCATTTGATTCTATGTGTGTGTGCATGTTTCTGTGTGTGTGTGTGATGTGGTTTTGTTTCAAATGATACCTGCTTCTGTAATCAATTTCAGATTTCTAAAGTAAAATTTATACATCATATGTGTACCATAATTTTATGTGTTAATTAATCATAGTTTTCATGATGGATATCTATCGGGAATAGTTTTGTAGTTGATAGTGTTTTAGTTTTGACCAGAACTTTGTGTGTTTATATGCTTTAGATTTCGTTTGGATGATTATTGACACATTCATTTATGTGATAGATCGAATGACAACTTCAGATTTGATAACGAATATTACTACTGACGCTTGTCATCCCTAGTGGAGGAGCATAGGCCGCCCACCAGCATTCTCCATCCCATTACATCCTGGGCTATCCTTTCCAGTACCTTCCAGTTGTTACTCATCCTTTCCACGTCCGCTTCCAATTCTCGACACTGTGTTCTTTGGTCTTCTTCTCTGTTTCCCTTCAGGATTTCAAGTTAGCGCATGCCTCATGACGCAGTTTGATGATTTTCAAAATGTATGTCCTATCCACTTCTAGCTTCCTTTCCTAACTTCCTCTTCAGCTGAAAGCTGGTTTGTTCTCTTCCAAAGTAGGCTGTTGCTCACGGTATTCGGTCAACGGAAATTGAGTATCGTACGTGGACAATTGCTTGTAAATACCTGTACTTTTTATGGTGGTTGTAGTAGTTCTCCAAGTTTCATTTCCGTACAGTAGAACTGTCTTGACGTTCGTATTGAAGATTCTCACTTTGTTGTTGGTTGACAGTTGTTTTGAATTACATATGTTCTTCAACTGTGGGAATGCTGTCTATGCTTTGCCAATCCTTGCCTTTACATCTACATCATATCCTCCTTGTTTATCAGTGATCCTGTTCAGGTACGTGAAAGAATAAACACCTTCGAGAGTTCCTCCATCAGGTGTGATTTGGTTGGTGTTCTTTATGTTGTTTGAGAATCTTGGTGCATGATGAGGTTTACTGATGAAGAGGCTTCTGTCATACTAGTTGTCTTCATCTACATTTGTTGATGTGTTGATGAGGTTTCATAAGGTTCTCCTATCCACACTGTCAAATGCTTTCTCATAATTAAGGAAGTTGATGTTTAGTGACGAGTTTCTCTCAACTGATTGTTCAACGATGGTCCGTAGTGCTACGATTTGGTTTGTGGACAATTGTTCATTACAGAATTCAAGCTGTTGATCTCTTTATGATGATGCTTCTTGAGACCCAGCACCTAACGCGTTGACGTTAGTACTTTTTTGACTGCTTTGCACTTGTTCTCCATAGTAGTTTCTTCTTCTGTAAGTAGATCTCGTAAGGCTTAGAAACTAATGTTGAAAGTTATCATGAATTCGTTGAGTTTGCCAGTATGTCATAGAAATTCTGTATTTAAGATTTGTACTGCTGCTTTTCCAGTTGTTCAGTGCTTCTCTAGCTTCAGTTTCTTCTTGACAACCACCAGGTGATGATGTGAAACTATGTTATCTCCTCTCATGTTTCTCACACCTCCCAGTGACCTTCTGAATTTTTTAGTGATGGAAATACGATCGATATGAGTCTCTGTAGTGTAGTCCATTGAGACCCTATTAGCTATATGTATGCGTTTGTTTGGGAATATAGTTCCGACTATAACCATTTTGTTGAATGCACATAGAATTGCTAATATCTCATCATACTCGTCACTTTTTTCCACTTCATGCCGTCCCATGATATCTCCATATTTATTGATGTCCATTCCGACTTTGTTGTTCAGATCTCCTTTTAGGATATCATGTAATTTCTTGTTCACTTCACTATGATCGATGAAAGCCTCGTGAAACTGATCTTTGTCGTCACCATCGCTATCACCGGTTGGCGCATAACACTGAATAACATTCATTGTGATTCCCTCCCTCTTTGTTTTCAGGGATGCCTTGATGATTCTGGGTCTATGAGATTCATTTGTAGTGTGGAGCAGTTACCGACCAATGAAATTAGAAGATGGTCGCACAATATCTAGAGCTGAATGAAATAAAACGTGTAAGCCATTGGACGCACGCTGAGAAATCTTCAAGTCAAGCACTCGCTATGAGGCACAGAGATCTTGCGTTCTAATACGCTTATGATAAACACCAATTAGTACTAATCAGTGTGAAATGTTCAAATTCATTCTTGAAATCTAAATATTGTTAGTACCTTTCTTATCTTCGTTTCATGACATATTAACCATGAAATTTGTCACATTAAGCAATAGTCAACGTCTTTTAGATAATTTAATTTGATGATGATACACCAGTTGTCTGTAGAACAATGCTAGTTAAATTAACTTGGATTTCGGATTGACATGAAAGAGTCGAAAATGATTTCGATGATCAATTATTAACATTTGACAGAAACTTCAATTTCCATATGTGTTTAGTACAGAATAAGTAGTCCATCTAACATATTCTACAGTTTATCAAGACAAACTGAACCACCTTGTATCCAATAAATTATAATCTTGAATAAAAGCTTGTGCCTTCTTTAGTATAAATTGCTTATGCTTAACTATGATTTTTGGAAAGTAAATTTTGTCCTAGTTGGGACTTTTCAGGTAGTTGTACCTGTATTCTAATGTTAATACACAGAATGAAATTTGAACTTAATACCTTTTGCTTCAAGTACCAATGTCCGGCGCTTTGTCCGGATTCCAAATCAATGGTGCCTATGGGCTCCAGTATCCTGAGGGAACAAATGGCGTATGAACCAATTGTTGGTCACCGGCTCCCATGGGACTGCATCTCCTGACGTTGCTCCACTGCCTTCTGGATCAGACCTTCACGTCGAAGGCTCGGAGCGTGGCTTCCTAAGAAAACCACCTGATTCGGTTTGGGGACCCAAGCAGTAGTATCACAGCCCTCACACATATCGAATGAGATTTGTGTGGCGCATATGTATTTGGTTCCTCCTTGTACCAATATCTATGTGTTAAAATAAATAAATAAATTCGTTATCCGCTAAGATACTGAGTCCATAAACTTACAAACTTGTATGTTTTTATATCATTATTAGTAAGAGTTTGTATTATCTCATTGTTAATATTCAGAACTGAATTTCTATCAGTCTATATTAACATATGTACATCCGGTGACGATTAGATTCATAAAGCAATTCTAAAGAACTTATGACGTTATGGTTATGTTATGGAAACCAAACATATACTGAAAAAAGACTGTTAAAACGTTTCTTCTAAATATCAATAACTGAACTATTCACTGGGTTACAAATAATAATGTCAATGTGTATGAATTTTATCACGTAATTTAATCGGTTAACTAATTGCAAGTTAATTGAACTGAACACGTCTGTGTTTGTTTTATTAACTAATCAATCATTGTCAGTTGGCTTTAATCATTTAGAATATTTGATTAATAACCAAATTATACAAAACTTATAAAAGTGAGCTAACAAATAGTATCTTTTTACATCATAATGGATAACTTCTATTTGACAGCTTTTAATTGTGATACATTCTATTCATAATGCAATAGAATGTATTTTTATACATAGTACAACAACGTGATATTCAATGGTTAGGATTGCTCAATTTTTCTTAAATATAATCAAGTATTCTTCTTTTTATATTTTTATCATAACAATAGAACCAATATTATCACTTGCAAATCAAAGTATTATCATTTAATTCAGTGGATTGTGAAGAATAATTTATGAAAATATAAATTTTCATCACAAAATGATGTCAGCTTATGAACGATTAAAAACTAGGGAATAATTAAAAACTATTTCAGTATGGGGTTGTGGAGATTGTTAAGCTTAGATTAATATCATGAATGAATCACCATTGATAACCTGGGAGCAATGAATGGCCGTTTCGTCCTAGTATGGGTCTTCTTATTAGTGCGTATCCATGATCCTGTACACAAAATTCGAATCCAGGACCTTTCATTATCATCACAAATATATAAATAAATAAATACCGAGGACCTTCGGACTCGCGCACAAACGCTTAATTTCTTGACTACTAAGCCGGCACCCAACGGTGTTAATGTCTAATTTCAACCAATCCACTATTTCATTCATTTATTTACGTTAAAAATACTTACCATATTGTTGACCAACTTTAAGGTAAATTATCCGGGTCTTAAACAGATTTTATCAGTAAAGTATAGTGCTATGAAAAGTGCAATGATCATCACCGTTAACGATGGATGCTGATCGTATTCTCATCCTAAATTCATTAAAGTCAGAAATGAGAAGCATTAAATTCTAATTCAGTCATGTAAAGTTAACATAATCAACATAATACAGTGTAGGTGTAGTGGCTTCGCTTCGTTAATCTATCACCTCGATAAGATGGCAATGAGAAATGGCAACTACAGTTTATTAGGGGATAGCGTATATCAC